CATATAAGTATTGCTACTTCAGCATTTTTGTTTCCATTTTCATGATATATCTTTTTCCATCCTTTTACTTTGTGTGTCTTTTCGATCTGAAGTGAGTCTCTTGTAAGCAGCATATGTATGGGTCTTGTTTTCTTATCCATTCAGCCACCCTATGTCTTTTAAATGGAGCATTTAATCTATTTACATTTAGATAATTGTTGATATGTAATTACTGCCATTTTATTATTCATATTTTTTATCTTTTTTTTTTCTTGTTGTTCTTAAAGAAATCCCTTTAACGTTTCTTGTAATACTGATCTGGTGGTGATAAACTTCTTCAGTTTTCTGCTGTCTGGGAAGCTCTTTATCTGATTCTAAATGATAGCTTTGCTGGGTAATCTTGGTTGTAGGTCCTTGCTTTTCATGACTGAATATTTCCTGCCTATCCCTTCTGGCCTGCAAAGTTTCTACTGAAAAATCAACTGAGTCTTACGGGAGCTCCCTTGTAGGTAGGTAACTAACTGCTTTGCTCTTGCTGCTTTTAAGATTTTCTCTTTGTCTTTAACCTTTGGCATTTTAATTATGATGTGTGTTGATGTTGGCCTCTTTGGGTTCATCTTGTTTGGGACTCTCTGCGCTTCCTGGGCTTGTATGTCTATTTCCTTCACCAGGTTAGGGAACTTTTCCATCATTATTTCTTCAAATAGGCTTTTAAGTCCTTGTTCTCTCTCTTCTCCTTCTGGTACCCTAATGATGTGAAGGTTGGTACGCTTGATGTTGTCCCAGAAGCCCCTTAAACTATCCTCATTCTTTTTACTTTTTGCTGTTCTGACTGGGTATTTTCTGCTTCCTTATCTTCCAAATTGCTGATTCGATTCTCTACTTCATTTAATCTAATGTTGATTTCCTCTAATGTATTCTTCATTTCAGTTATTGTATTCTTCATTTCTGACTTTTTTTTTTGTTTTCTATCTCCATTTTTTTATTTCCTATCTCTTTACTGAAGTTTTCACTGGGATCACTGAACATCCTTATAATCAGTGTTTTAAACTCAGCATCTGATAGATTGCTTGTCTCCGTTTTAGTTTAATTGTTTTTCTGGAGCTTTTTTCTGTTCTTTCATTTGGCACATGTCTCCCCATTTTGGCTGACTCCTTGTATTCGTTTCTATGTATTAGGTAGAGCTGCTAAGTCTCCTGGTGTTAGCAGAGTGGCCTTATGTAGTAGGTGTCCTGGGTGGCCCAAGCTGCGAACCTGGGCCAGCTGCCATGAGTGCTGGGATCAGGGCTGCTCAGCAAGTGGTACAGGGGATGCCAAGGCCAGATGCTACTGGTTTGGGGCTTGCAAACCTTGAGAGATGTTAGCAAAGTCTGCAGCATAAGTCAAGACAGGCAGTTTGTATGGAAAAGCCATTGGAAGAGGCTGGGTGGGCCCACAAGTTGGGTGGGAATCACCAGGGGCAAGGAGAACAGTGTCAGGTTAACGGAGACTCAGATATGGAGGCCACCTGTGTGTGCAGGCTGGGTCGGGGAGGGCTCAACAAAGGAACAATGGCTTCCGCTAGCACTTCTGTCTAGGAGAAAGCTGCCCCTCCAGCCCTTGTCCTGAAGCCAAACAATTCAGTTCCACCCTGTAAGTCCCTGGTGCCTTTCCAGCTGCTGCCCCAGCGCTGGAGCTCAGAGCAAGTTAGTTGATCAGTGAGTAAGTTTGTGTGCGGACCCTTTAAGAGAAAAGCCTGGGATTCCAGCACCCTCTGTCTCAGCAGTAATTTCTGTTAGTTTTCACAGCCAGAAGTTATGGAGACCTCTTTTCCAGGCACTGGAGCCCTAGGCTGGAAAGCCTGGAGTGGGGCTGGGACCCCTCACTCCTGCGGGGGGGATGAGGGGTGCTCTCCAGCCGAGATATTTCTCCCTATTTTTAACCACCACACACTGGTGAGGGACCAACTTGTTCCAGGTCTCTGCCCCTACCAGTCTTGACATGGCTTCCATATATCCTTAGTTATAGGACTTCTGTTCAACTAGACTTCAAGCAATTCTCAATGATGGCTGTTTCATAGTTTAGTTGTGATTTTGATGTGGTCATGAGGTAAGGGAAGTTACAGCCTTTACCTTCTCTACCATCTTGGCCAGAAGTCTGTTACCCACAAATTTTTTAAAAAGAAAACAGTTCTGCAACAATTCTCTTCGATTCACCAGAGAGATAAATAAAGGTGGAGGATCGTGGTTTAAATGAGTTTTACTACCAGGAGTACACACAAAAAAAGAGTTTTAGAAGCTTCCTACAAATGAAGCTGTCTTTACTAACTTGCAAATTGAGGTAATACTAAACCTAAATCACAGCAAGTAGAATTACATGTCCAGTGCTTCAAAGTAAAAATGAATAATGAAAAAAATTTTTTTTCTTCTGAATTCCCTTAAAGGTGTTTCTGGAAATTAGCATTTTTGTCTGTGAGGTGGCCAATTAAGTGGTCCAAGAATAAGAAAGAGTAGGAGGAAGATTTTTTTTTTTTACTGGGTATCTTTTTTATCACTTGAATTTATACCATTTGAAGACATTATCTACTCAAAATAAATAAAAT